GCTTTAGACGCGCATGCAGGTCACATCGCACTCAGCTATGAACGTTTCCTAAGAAAGCTGGAGATCAGTTTGAGAAGATGCCAACAAACCAAGATCATCTATATGTAGCAAATAGCAAAGTTCTAATCGCAACATCTACCTAACTGATTCACTCATCACCCTTCCTGCGCTTTGCCAGCCTTGCTCAACCGTCGCTCTTGGCTCTTCTTTAAGAAAAACGGCGCTATTTCTGTTTCTGCCCCCTTTGTCACCTGATCATAGACGCCGCAGTTATGTCCTAAACGCTGGTTAATAACAAAGAGTTTCTGTCGATGCCTCTTGTTTCTGCCTTGGATCGTTCCATTTTGGCACCTCCCAGCTAGAAGAACACTTCAAGAGTTTCAGCTTCCGAAAGTTTCTGATGCTGCGGCTTTTCCGCATTAGGTTGATTTGTTCCAGGGGTACTGTATAAAGACGCTGATTAATGTCTGGCTAGTAATTACAGTTCTAGTCCAGGATGGAATCAAGGTGTTAGAACGAGGGAGCCTGCTGTCATTCACCACTAACCAGGGTTTATAGAGTTGCAACGTACCTTCTGTGCCCTCTTGTCCATTGTCCCTTCAGGACTCTTCGTGGGGTTGAATTATGGAACAACTCACTTTGTTATTTACACGTATTTTTCTCTGACATTTATTGCAAATCTGCTGAATTTCCCCGCGACGAACACTACTACATCGAAGGCTGGCAGCCAACTTCCCTCCGGTCTATATTTGTAATATTGCTCATCCGATAAATTAATGGTTTATAGTGACGCGAGATGTATCCAGCACGGTAGTTGCTCACATACCACCAAGCGTGCTCCAATTTAATACCCCCGACCACTTGGTAACTTAGCGCACAGAGGGGAGCAGTGCTTCGTGAAATTAGGATGCTAATAGTCTATCGCCTACTAATGAACTCTGCAAAGGAAATTTAGCGGAAGCCAGTGACTCATTTCCTGTAGATTTTCAACTGTGATCTTCCGGTCAGTTTAGAGCGTTGCCACGAATACTTTGCCTCGCAATTGCAAAAAATGGATGTGCGAATAGACGCTTGCAACATGGCAACTTTCAACTCATGCCTGCCTTGGAAGACTAGAGACCTCCTTACTTGTTGTAGAGCTTTGTACATTCGCATTCACTTGATTGCGTTGGCTAGTCGTCTTTCAGCACACTCAAAATCCGTCGTTTTAAGCGAATATCTGGTTCACAACTTTCTGTTCTCGTTGGCCTCTCTTGGTCGTATTCTTTTGTAACCCTTGTAGCCCTTCGTCAACTTCCACCATATCTCTTT